ACGCACGCACGCACGCACGCACGCACGCACACACACACACACACACACACACAAGACCACATAGTGAAAATCATACAAAGAAAACAAAATTATTTCACATTTGCAAAATTATTATGATCATTTTGTATTTGCTTACTTGGTTTTCTTAAAATTTCATTCATGGTTCTTAGTTTGCAATGAAACTCTATTTGACTAATGAGTTCTTCAGATGGAGCGTGACTCTAATTAAATCAGACGTCCGGGCTAATCACACTAATCAGACCATCTCTGATGGTTGCACCAGAACACCTCCTACCTAACCAACAGTAACAGGCACCTGTTATGTCTCATTATTTCCTTCAGCTATAACCATTATAGCCCCAAAAATGGAACTTGGATGGTTCTGCTCTTGTAATATCCATGAAACATTCAAACTGACCACAGTCACTTTTACACTGCTTTACCCTGCATTAACTGCTTATTATTGTGGATACTTCAAGGTTATTTCAAGTGTCTACTTCATATAAAGATACATTCTAATCTGTGATCTTGTTTTTCGCAATTATAATAAATTTTATTTTAAATCGTGATACAGTAATTTTAGTAAAGATTCATCTCAGATACTTTATGATCAGTCAACTCATCAAGATGTTTTTTACTGATCACAGACAGCAAAATAAATAAAACAGCAATTGTAATAATAATAATAATAATAATAGACTGTTCACGCACTATTTTGAAGTGAATGCTGTTGTTTTATTCGTGTACATGCAACCATGTGAAACCTACCTGCACATGTGCATGCACTGGTGGGAAGTGGTGTCCAAGGGACACATGTGGGGGTGCCGCTGCACAATGTGCCGTCCAGATATACGTGTCATTGGGCCACGGCCTGCAGCCGAATTTCCCTTTGCTCTTCGTTGGACTTTTTTTCACGCTGTCTCTGAGGTTGGGGAACTTCCCTTTGGAGCCTCTGTTGGCCAGGTCGGTGGGCAGAGTGCTCCAACCGCCGTAACCCCCCAGCCCCGGACACAAGGAGAGCTGCGGCGAGTGGAAAGGGTGGATGGATAACGACTGGGAGGCGTGGGGAAGAGGAGGAGAGCAGCACCGGTGCGGGTGGCACTGCTGGAGCAGCGGGTGGTGACCTGGCGAATGGAGCTGCTGGTGGTGGCAGATCTGAAGAGACGAAGGTGAGGCGAACAGGTGACCCGGTGAGGCT